CTAATAAACTAAAGTTGAGGGGTATTTTTGACCCTTTTCCCTATATTATATAAACTCCCTTAGAAAATAAATATATATTATATATATTATATAGTAGAAAAAAAGTAGAATATAAGTAGAATATTATATAGGGAGTTTATGATGGGACATTCAAATGTCCCATCATAAACTCACTCTTATATATAAGTAATATAAGTAGAATTTAGATGCTCTTATTGTGTGAATTTATTTCTGGGAGGTGCCATACGTTGTTTTCCTGAATAGTACTTTAATAATAAAACTACTGATAAATTAATGCATCTCTGTTTCCAGATTTATTCTACAAAAAACACAATCAGAAATTACCTTATGCTCAGTGATAGCTTAAATAATGTTATTTGAAGGTTATTAGTAGCACTCAACCTTGGGAAGCAAGTATTCCAAGGCAATAAATTCCATAAATGATGATTTAAACTCGAGTTGTCGTCGTGTTCCTTTTGTAGATTTGCAGGAAGCAACTAACAACTTTGATGAGAAGTTTCACATTGGGTTGGGTGGCTTTGGGAAAGTTTACAGGGGTGTTTTGCGTGATGGAACAAAGGTGGCCCTGAAGAGGTATAAGCGTGAGTCCTCACAAGGTATTGAAGAGTTCCAAACAGAAATTGAGATTCTCTCTTTTTGCAGCCATCCGCATTTGGTTTCATTGATAGGATACTGTGATGAAAGAAATGAGATGATTCTAGTTTATGACTACATTGAGAATGGGAACCTCAGGAGCCATTTGTATGGCTCAGATCTACCCACTATGAGCTGGGAGCAGAGGCTGGAGATATGCATCGGGGCAGCAAGAGGTCTGCACTACCTTCATACCAGCGCAGTTATACATCGTGATGTCAAGTCTATCAACATATTACTTGATGAGAATTTTGTGGCAAAAATTACTGACTTTGGAGTATCCAAGAAAGGGACTGAGCTTGATCAAACCCATCTTAGCACCCTGGTGCAAGGAACTATCGGCTACCTTGACCCTGAATATTTTTTAAGGGGACAACTGACAGAAAAATCTGATGTCTATTCTTTCGGTGTTGTTTTATTTGAAGTTCTTTGTGCTAGGCCTGCCATAGTTCAATCTCTTCCAAGGGAGATGGTGAGTTTAGCTGAATGGGCAGTGGAGTCGCATAATAAGGGACAGTTGGAACAAATTATTGATCCCGATCTTGCAGCCAAAATAAGACCAGAGTCCCTCAGGAAATTTGGTGAAACAGCGGTGAAATGTTTAGCTTTGTCTAGTGAAGATAGGCCATCAATGGGTGAAGTGTTGTGGAAACTGGAGTATGCACTCCAAGAGTCTGTTATTTAAGATGATCTTGACTGCAAGCAGTGGTGGAGCTAGGATTTTCATTAAGGGTTATCAAAATATAAAGAAATAAATGCACGAGAAAGGCTGTAATGTGCATGTCGTTTTAGTTGTTTAGAAAGAAAAAAAAGTGATTGGTGTAACACTAGTATATATATTTATTAAAGCAAAATTAACCTATATATAATGTAATTTTCCAGCAAAGGAGTGCTGCTTGACACCCCTCGGGCAAGAGTAGCTCTGCCCCTGACTTCAAGTCTATGATTTCAGTCATTTGATGCTCAGATCTGGATGATCTCATCAAATTCGGATGATCTCTGTGCTGCTGGTTTCTAGAAATTGATCAAGTCTGATGGTTGATAACTAAGTGAAAATGGTGCATACCATCCTCAGGTGTTTGTTAATTCCACTTTTGTTGGTGGATCATATAAAGATATATTTTTGTTTTTGTAAGTCTTCTGAGTTTTATATAGAAAGTTAACTTTGAAAACTTGAAATGCTCTACCTGTGGATCCTTCTTTCATTTTATTAGGTGTGTCCGGCAGTTACACATATTAATTGTATATGGTTTTTTTTAAGTTCTTCATACACTTTCTTATTGTAAAGAGGCAAAAGGAAGTTTGCTGCTTTGACATAGTCATATAAAATATATATATATATATATATTCAGCTTTCAGAATGGAACTGCAGATCTTAAAAGTTCGCGGAGCAATTCAAAATATTACTCAATCTGTTTACATATAATATTCGATCTGTTTACAAAATGACAATTGTATAGCAACTTTCCTATTAAAAAATAAAGTTGAATGACATTTTAAGATAATATATAACCATTATTGAGTAATATTTTTGTAAACAAATATTACTGAACATCATGACTAAGCTATTTGACTAAGTAATTTACTTAATACATATAATATACGCAAGTATTGCCCAAATCCATTAGTGAAGAGGTAATTTTCTTTTCGATTCTCTCTTCCACAATAACTATCAATCTCTCTGTCTTCTCTCCAAATTTCCTCAGTTGTGGTATAATCAGAGGTTCCTCAAGCTTCTGTTTTGTATACATATATTTGTGATTTTCATCTACATGCTTACTGTTAGGAGTTCATTTTTTCTTCTGTTATACCATTTGTTTGCAACTTTGAGACAGTGAAGTCTTCCGATCACGAGATTTAGTTGTGAGTTTCCGATTTTGCTCAACAAAACAGGAGCAGTTTGCCCAGTCAAATACTAGTTGCACTCCACCATGGGAACCAAGTATTCCAAGGCAACAACTTACGTAACTGATACGATGAGTTATCACGTTCCTTTTGAAAGTTTTCGAGTTCCTTTTGTAGCTTTGCAGGAAGCAACTAACAACTTTGATGAGAGTTTGGTCATTGGAGTGGGTGGATTTGGGAAGATTTACAGGGTGCTTTTGTGTGATGGAACAAAGGTCGCCTTGAAAAGGTATACGCCTGAATCCAATCAAGGTCTTCAAGAGTTCCAAACAGAAATTGAGATTCTCTCAAAGTTCTGCCATCCACATCTGGTTTCATTGATTGGATACTGTGATGAAAATAATGAGATGATTCTAATTTATGAGTACATGGAGAATGGGAACCTCAGGAATCATTTGTATGGGTCAGATCTACCTAGTATGAGCTGGGAGCAGAGGCTGGAGATATGCATCGGGGCAGCCAGAGGTCTGCACTACCTTCATACTAACGCAGTTATACATCGTGATGTCAAGTCTTTAAACATATTGCTTGATGAGAATTTTGTGGCAAAAATTAGTGATTTTGGAATATCCAAGAAAGGGACTGAGCCTGATCAAACCCGTGTTACCACAATCGTAAAGGGAACTGTGGCTTACCTTGACCCTGAATATTATTTAAGTAGTCTGGTGACAGAAAAATCTGATGTTTATTCTTTCGGTGTTGTTTTATTTGAAGTTCTTTGTGCTAGGCCTGCCATGGATTCATCTCGTTCGAGGAAGATGTTCAGCTTAGCTAATTGGGCAATGGAGTGTCAGAAGAATGGACAGTTGGAACGAATTATAGATCCCAATCTTGTTGGCAAAATAAGACCAGATTCCCTCAGGAAGTTTGGAGAAACAGCAGTGAAATGCTTAGCTGATTATGGTGTAGATAGGCCATCAATGGGTGATGTGCTGTGGAAACTGGAGTATGCACTTCATCTCCAAGAGCCTGTCATTCAAGATGATCCTGCAGAACACAGTACCATCCCAAATCGCGACCAAATCAATGATTTCAGTCATGTTGATGACAGCTCTTCTGCTGCTTCGATCGAAACATCAAATTGGGATGATATATATATCCGAGATAAGTGAAAATGGTACATACCTTCCTTAAGTATTTGTTTCCACTTACGTTCATGAATCATATGAAGATTTATTTTTTGTTTATGCAACAATTTTTATTTTAGTAAGTTCTGATTTTTATATAGAAAGAAAGATATTATGATCATCTCAGTTTGCATCACCAGATTATGACAATAATGCATCTTTGATTCCAGTTTTATGCTATAACTACAATCAGGAATTACCTTATACTCAGATACTTTAAATAATCAGCCTCTGCCCTTCGGGTGAGCACTCTGTGGTGAGCATTGGGTAAACCCCCCACTGTGTAATAGCCTGCAAACTACACAGGCAATGTAAACAGCACTAGACAAGCCCTATGCGACAGACTCGGCTAAGAAGGCATTGAGGGGGGATCGATCCCAGGCCACCTTCCAAACCAACTAAGTCATCCCGAAGGACTCTTAACCTCCAAATGTTATTTGCCTTAAATATAGAGGTTATTAGTTTCACTTCTGATGATCATATGGTTAAATAAATAATATAACTCGTGAAATATAGATATAGTCACTTCTAGTGGCAATTGGATCTTATTTGCAGCCATAAAAATTCGTTTAATTACTCAACCAAATAGACAAGTATCTGGGTCAAACGGAAGAGAGAGACAATTTCAAAGTTTTTGCAGTGACTACCCTGTTTCGGGATGTTCTTTAATTTTTATTTTTTAAATTCGTATTCTTTAATTTTATCCTTATTACTCATTTAACAAAAAAATATTGGCCAAAGTATCTTATACAAAAAAAAATAGATAATATTTTTTTCTCTTTTTAGTTTTTAAGACGTAATTTCTTATTCATACGTCTGGAGATATGTATCGGGGCAGCACTACAAAAAAATGCTCAATTTATAAGGGTTATTTTGTCAATTTATGACGGTTTAGGGATCCCACAAATTAAATTGTGGCGGTTTCTAAAACCGCTACAATTATCCTTGCTACGAGCATATTTGCAACGGTTTTAGTAAACCTCCACGACGCTCCCCGTAAAATGACTTTTAAATTTGTGGAGGCTTTTTAGTATCAGTTTGTGATAGTTTAGAACCTTCACAGTATGATTTCAATATTTTAAAAATTAAATTTGTGTGGATTTAAAATTGTCATGATATGAGATTAATATTTAAATATATAATTTGACTAGGTAACTTGGCCACGCTACGCGCGGTCATAAATATTATATCAAAAGTATAAATGATTTTTTTCATATTATTTGAATATAAAAGAGTTTTTAGTTCAAATTCAATTAAATAGATAAAAATTTAAATTCATTCTTATTATTCACATTGAACTAATTTTTAACAAATAAAATATACTATTACATGAAGGAAGAAAAAGTACTTTTCAGTTTTTGTTAAACATAAATTGTTTAATGTCATATAACCAGCTTAAAGATAAACAAAACTCATTAAGAAAAAATATATGAGAAAAAAGAGAAGAACATGGTCCATCCATAATAAAGTGAAAATAACTGTATTTATATGCCGGAAATTATGACGTATACAGATTTAAAAAGTAGAGTTGAGAAAACAAAATAAAAAGCAAAACTGATCATTCTGTGTAATTTACACACAGTACATATGTATTAATTAGCTTAATTATATATATAATGTGTAATTTTGTGAAACATCATAGATTGAAGATAGAGAATTGATTTTTAAATTATATAGTTTTTAATTTTTTCTTCACTTATACTCAGGGGCGGATCTATTTAGGCAGGTGAGGGTGCCATGCCACTCACGAGTTTCGACGGAAACTTTATATTTATAGCTATATATATACATACACAATCTATATATAAATAATGAACCTGCCACCCACAGTACAAAAGTAATATGTGGTGCTCATGGTAAAAGGCTGAATGTTTGGGTCTCAGGTCATGGAATCGAAATCCGCTTGACACATTTACATTTTTTCTTTTTTAAAAATTCTGACACGTTCAAGGCTCCTCTCATAAATCATAATAGCTTTTCAACCCTTTACCTTTTTTTTTTCTTTTTTACCATTGTTTCAAATTATTTGCTACTTCCTTTATCTTTAAATAATTTTTATAAATATGAAATTTAGCCTAATTCATCCTACTCCTAACATTAGATATTATTTTTTTATCCTATATTAATTATTTACATTTTACTAAAAATAGTTATTAAAAATTATTTATCAATTAACAAAATTAATCAACAATTTTTTTTTATTTTCATTATCCTAACAAGTAATTTTTCTCGAAAGTGTAAACAAAATTTGTGAAAAATTGCAAAAATGTTTATCTGAAAGATTAAAATAGTAAACTATCATTTTTGTATATAATTTCTTAAAGAAGTAAAAGAAAAAGTTAATAACTAATAGAAAGGGGTATAAAATTGTTATTTTTCCTCTTCTTAATAATTTTATAAACACTTAAATGCATCAAAGAATTCCAACAAGAAAATATAACAGAAAGATCATCAGTAATTTTAACCAATAATTATATAAGTTTTGGTACTATATTTTCAAGTAACCCAAAATCGAAAATCATCCATAAACTCCTACATATATACACACTCTCTCAATTTATATGATATTTTTTATTCTTGGAATTCAAGCTATGTGAAATTTAATTAATATTTTAAAATATTTATTATTATTACATTAATATGATAAGAATTGCAACTTATAATGTTCATAAAGATTACCTTCTTGCTAAGTTGCAATTCAACCAAAAACATTATTAGTTGCATTTCTTATCATGTTTATATAATTTTAAAAAAGGAAAAAAAAAAATACACCTTATAGCTTGAATTTCGAGAACAAAAATAACCTATAAATTAATGGAGAGAAGTAAAAATAGAAAAAACAAAAATTAGTTAATTATATTTGTATTTTGTTGATTGACAAGTAATTTTAAATAACTATTTATGTTTATCCTAAAAATAATACAATTGATTTTGTATGAGGTTAAAAACAGATATCTTAATTTATCATAGTTTAACTCTTTTTTAAATACGTAATTATTTTACTTTAAATCAAAATTAAAATTTAATATATTTATCTTTATTTAATTTTTGACAAATGAACATTATGAACCACCATAAATTTTTCGTAAACAACCTAGAAACACTTTTTAAAAAATTTATATATGTTTATTTCTATTTT